AGAGGCTAATCCAATTCTCGCATAAAAGCGACTAATTTGGGACGAGAAACCCACTGCTTACTGATTCTTTTACTAACCATTACCGAGTACCACACCCAGCAACGTTTTGGTACGCGAATCCAGCAGTTCGTCCGACCAGAAACATACAAGGTTACCACGGGATGTCCGGAGCGATTTTTCTGTCACCATATAAACAGTCAGACTCTCCGTCAGATGAGCGGCATGCTGGCTGCCGCTGTGGCCACGTGAAGAAATAATATTCATTTTACCAGCACTGTTGACAATCGGTGGTTGATGTATATCGGTGTACGGTATACGTGAGAAATCGTCCAGGCGGCCTCCCCAAAATGCATAGGACAAGCGGCGGGTAATAATTGACGGCACGCAGTTCAGGACCGCAAGGCCTGGCAAAACTGCCGGTTGTGTGTGGGAGCATTCCAGTAAAATCATTGATATGAGATACTTATATTGATTGTTTGGGCGGCCGTATTTTGTTACACTTACTACCCTGACGATCACGGTTAAATGAAATGGTATGAACACAGAAACTTTTGCGGTTAGAAAACTATAACGGGGCTAGTCTTTCGTTAGTTTTAACTTTGCTCCATGGTACTGGATAAAATAGCTCCTAGAAGGATCTAGAAATATTTCGAAGATTAGAAACGGGCTTTCAGATATAAAATAACGTAGAAAATGACCTTGACACTTTGGCAAGCCTGAATTTTTTAAATTTGACAGTAATGGAATCGCTGTCTAAATACAAATAGTTTTCCGTTCCCCGCAACGCATCTCGCCGTAAAGCTTTTCGTATTAATCAGAACCAAAACATTCATTCACTCACAAATACCGAGAAACTTTAAGTTTTTCACAAAATTCCGACCCAATCGCCCCCTCGTTTTATGAGAATGGTAGTGGATTAGGCAGTTCGAGGCATGGCGGGGTTCAAATTCTGGCAGTTTCTAATATACCAAAGAGTTTCTGCGCCGGCTAAGCTCTGTTTTCTAAAAACCAATATCAGTATGACCAGCGGTTAGTAATGCAGCAAAAGTAAAGCAGCTGCGCACGCGGAAAAACAAATGCACTCTATGCAAGGCCTTACTGGGTGATAATTTATGGAACTTTCAGGCCGCAGAACTTGAAAACATGAAGCTCGCAGTCGTTGTTTTCGCAGGATGCATGATTTGCCTTGCCTATGCGGAACCGGTATCTTTTCAATTCTTCATTTAATAAACTCACTTCTCTGGATGATTTGCAGTCGATCAGTATCAGCTGCATTTATGTGCCAATCACTGGTACTATTCATTTAACCGTTCGGCGATGAATGTGCCTTGTGCGAATGTACAGCCAACCCAGAAAGATTTAGGGCAGAAATCTCGGAGGGACTAAGTCAACAGGATGTTAGACATAGCCATCAGAGTTATAGGATGAATTCCATTTCACAGCGAAAAAGTCTATCAGATTGTCAAATTTCCTTACAATCACTCTCCCATGAAACTCAAAAGCACTCGACTACCTGCTGACTAGACTAACAATGGCTCTTTCTTTCAACGGTTTCATACAAACAAGCTGATGGCGAGTTCCGCTCCCTGCCATGTGTTGGCACCAATTTGCCATCGGAACCAATGAGCGAATCAGTGGCGAATCAAACCCTCGATCGACTGTACAGGAGAAGTGCCACTTGTCACTGGACCACGCCGGCCATTGCTGGATTGTAAAACCAGCAAAACGTAAAAAAAGAAGTCTTTGGAAAATATCACGAAATTATCCCGGTAATGTTGCGAAACTGCGCTTTTAATACAAAAATTAGCGCGGTAATTTCGAGTTAGGTTGTCTTTAAACAAATCTCAAAAAAGCCCTGGGAAAGCTCTGATCACAGAGAGCTTCATCAGCAGAGGGTTCACTTTGATAAAAAGCACTACATGGTTCATTTCTGAATATATTCGCTTCTTGTAGAGGATGAAATACAGAATGATGATGATGTTAGTGAGATTTTGCAGACATTTGAAGTTTTGGATCCAAGCAAGCCAATTCCGGTCTCATGCAAACAACTTGGGATTGGTGTAACTCATCAGGGACAAATTTTATACATCGATGTCGAATATCCAGAGGAATGTTGGGGCAAGGGCGAGTTTGATGCACGTGATGCGATCCAGAGTGTTTTCGATTGCTCATACATGAAAACAGATCGTGTTGTTTAACTGGTTGCATGAAATTAGTAAAAATTAATTGTCGTTTCATTTGTGTCCACTATATTTGAATGAAATTTAATTATTTACTTGCATGCAAGATTCTACGGTAGAGCTGAAATGGACGAAGAGAAAATGAAAACCCAGGCTGGAACGCACCAGGCGAGCCGGTGCGATCATGTGTTTTTGCACCAGACTTGAAATAATTAGGTTAACTGCATGAGTGGTTGTTTCTTTACACCTACGTTGTGCTCTCAATAATGTAACTCATCGTAAACTTTGCATTAAAAAAAATAAACAATATCCGTTTAGCAGTTGTTTTTTGAAAATGACCCAGCCGTTCTATTAGTAATTTCCCGCCAAAAATTTAAGTGCCCGTGCACGAGAACCAT